CTTCTCTCCGTCCTTCAGTCCCATTCCAGCCGGGATCCCCCTGACGATGGCGTGAGTATACTTCCCGAAAGAAGCCATGGTTCCCGGTGGAAATTCTGCCTTTTCCCAGGAGCTGGAGACCAGCAAATGGCTTGAAATCCAGTTCCAGCGGATCAATCTGAATTCGATTTATTTCAATTGCTTTATTCCGGTCTAAATCGTCTTAATTTGCCCTCGTTTCTGATGTCCTGTCTAACTCTGTGCCCGTTCTGAAAGTACAAATGCCCCAGTTCAACTCTCCTCCCGCTACAAATTTTCCTCTAGCCTACTCTGTTCCTTTCCGCTTTTATTCCTCGACCCACCTTGTTCTCATGAACTTGTGGATAATTTGACTTGAACGCACAAGATCGTGGTTATTAAGAATCCCTGCCTCTCTCTCTCTCTCTCTTAACTCGTCCCCTCTCTCGTCCGTTTTAAACCGTTTCCCTGCCTTGGGAGTCCACAATAAACTCAGCTCCAGCCGATCATGACATTCCCGCTCGAACCGTGTGGCTCCCTGGACTCCGGCACCTTTCAAAATTCAAAACAAATGTTACTTTTTTCTCCCCCTACTCCCCTCACCACTCGGCTGTCTCCTGTCAATTGAAACTTGGTGAATTCGATATATAATCTGTATTGTCTTCCGCTCGTGTAATCGGCGCTGACCACTACCCCACCCCAATTAAATCGAAAATCTTTTGAGGCGGATTCACAAATCCTCTCCTGTTCCGCCACGCACTCACTCACTCATGGTTAGAGTAATCCTCGCCTTGGATCTGTAGCGTCCCTTTTTTTTGTTTCCCCCCCATCAAATTCTCTTTGATTCTTCTGATTTTCTCTTTTGCTAACGATTTTTTGTTTTTATTCTCTCTCTCTCCTCCCCCACAACTTTGTCCCCTCTATCTGGATTCCGTTTACAGATACTGCAATCAGTTTGAAAGTGCTGTGATTAACGGCGCCGAGAGAGAGGTTTAAACGTGCCTCGACGTTAAAGCGTTTACAAAGGAAGGAAAGAAAGAGAGCGGGACTCAATAGGGATAAAGACAAGACTGAGACATGGAGGGAAGAGGCGGAGCGGAGGGAGGGAGGTGAACTGAGGTAACGCTTGGCTCCTCTCGCAGGGAAGTAACAGTCGATGGCTCTCTAGGCTGTAGGACGGCGGCGAAGTTTTATTTTAATGTGTTATAAGTTTCCTCTGGCCTTTGATGCAGTGCCCCCTTTCTAGCTCTGATTACTTTACTCCGCATTAATTTTCTTGCCAGGCAGCCGGACTGGTGCACAGCAAGATCCCAGCAATAGCCAGAATGACCCACAGGGGTTTGTTCATTGAAGTGTCGTTTGCCCCCAGCCCCCGACTCCGGGGTTGTCAACATCTTTCCCCGACCAAATCGCCGCAAAAATGAGCAGCCAGGCTAAAATGAAACTTTATCCAGCTTGATGGGGAATGTCGCTTCGCAGTTCACGTGGCGCCTCCGACAGTGCGGCGCTCCTCCAGGCCTGCAGCGGGCCAGTTATCAGCCTGCATTCACTCGCGCTCTCTCTCTCTCAAGCTCCTTGGGGTTGAAACTCAAACCCCCTCAGCTTTCCGGCTCGGTGCGAGGCAGGAGAGCCGCAACAGGTCTCCGGTTTGGAGGAAAGCGCACCCACCCACTCATCAATTGATTTCAACAGAGTTCCGATAACGGATCGAAGCCCGAGTGCTGTTTGGATTCAAGAATGAAGCCAATTTATGAGCAAAGCGTGCTGGAAGAAAGCGCGGATTGAGGCTTAGGGAATTTTTAAAAGTTGATGCTGTTTTAGGGTGCACAGGAGGCTACTACGTAAGAGAGGAAATCATTAAGAATGCAATAGCAGGGCGGCATCCCACCAAAATGTCGGGGGATGAAGGACTGGGGAGACCATTCAGATTTTAAAAGTCACAACGTCGCTGTGTTCAGACCTTGCTGCAGATTGAATCCGTCCCCGAAGTGTGGCAGCACGAAGCTTGAATTTCCACCCCGGGAGAACCCGCATCACATGTAATCACTGGGCGTTGTTCCCTCACAGATACCTCTTCTCTCTCTCTGTGTGTGTTGGTATTTTCCCAATCAACCTGTTCAGAATTGCTATTACACGCCTCTGG